GTTTCCCTTTGTCTATCAAAAAATGTTTTAAAAATTGAACGTGTTCAAGGTAACATCAAAAGTGATTAGAGAATAAATATTAATTTATGGTTTGTTTGTTGGATCCGAATCATCTTTTATGATTTTCTCTATCATAATATGCTTGATTTTTATTCTCTACATGTCATCTCATTAAAATTTAATCTAAAGTAACAAGACAAAAAAGCATTTCCTTCTCTCATTGCAAAACAAGAAATCCCGGTTTCTTGTCGTTGAGAAGAAAATGAAAAATCCAGAACAAAAAAGAAGAAAGAAAAGAAGAAATGGAATTTGACATGTCTCGTGGGTTTTCTCCAAGTGAAGAGATGAGATGAGATGAGCTAGCCGCATATGCACTGCAGTGGTATCAAGTGGAACTCATAAAATAGTAAGTGTGTGCAGTGCATGCATTCTATTTTATTTGTGGCTGAGGGAGACGTCAGATGCACCAGGAGAAGCATAAGCAGCAGCATATGGGCATATGCATGTGTCATGTGCTGGACCAATTCTCTCTCTCTACCTAATTCAATGCATCTTTCATTCACAACCATACATTAATTAAATTAAATATAAATATGATTCCAATAATACCATACAAATGCAAGGCAATGCAACTCTCTCTCTCTGATTCTCAATTTCCTTCCTCGTACACTAGTGATCCGATTGGTTCACAGAAAGGATTTAATGAGATATTATTTCTCATGTTTTGGAAAATGGAAGATTTTTTTCCCATGTTTGGTAATGTTGGGAAAGTAATCATGAAATATAACTTTATTTCATTTCTCATATTTGGTTTGTGTAAGAATTTAAAATAAAGTGTTTAAATTTTCAATTATATCCATATGAAATCAAATAATAAAGAAGGTTTAATTACACCAATGCCTCTTGAATTTGTGGTCAAATTCCATTTTGCTCCTCCAAACTCAAAATGAGTCACTTTCATCCCCTGATCGAGGTTTGGTGACCCACTTTACCTCATGCCGTCAACTCCATCCAAAAGTCTATTAATTTTGATGACGTGGCAAGGGTGTTTCTATAATTTCGTATACATGAATCATTATTCACCAATTGTGTGAGTGACGTGGCAAATGGAGCCCACCTCTTTAGTTTGGGTTGTTTTATGGCCAATTTGGGGGCATGAGTTCGGGCTGATTTGGGGTCAGTTAGATTATTCAAATCAAGAAGGATATTTCAACTTAGGATTGTGGATTTTTTTTTTTGGTCGAAATAATTCATGTTCATTCAAAACCCATAAATGGGAAGGAAACAAACAGAATACAAAAGCCAAAAAGGCCAGCTAAAGGAACAAGATGCCACAAACACAGAGAAGATTAAACTAAAACCAGTACAGTCTAGTATAATAGTCTTCCCCATCACAAAATCAAACCAAAATACAATACAAAGCCACCGTCTTCTGCAAAGGGGACGGAGACCGTACCATAATGGCCACAAAGGAGGGGATACACCACCACCACACAGGTCAACATTGCTGCACATAGATACCCACCGATCTTCCACCAAAAATAGATCCCCAAAAATCGGAAACACATCAGCCCTCGAACGTTCCTCCAAAAATCACCTTCTCCATCACACCTAAATCTGCCAATGCTCTTAAGAGAAAACAGCCAATCACAACACCAAGGTATATACCAAAAAACCGACACCAAGAGAGTGGAGAGTATTAGTGCAAGCACCAGAGTAAGAACCGTAGCAAAAGCTCTAAATACAATCCGAGAGATGAGCGACAAAGCGCTTATAGATATGGTTGTTGTATCCCAAAGGAGATTCCAGATCCAGAAAAAGGATAAGGCAAAAAGAGGATGAGAAGTTGAGGAAAAAATAAATCTGGTTGAAGGGGTTGTTTGGTGGAGAAGGAAGGACACAAAATTGGAATGAGACATTTAATCTCAGCACAGAGTATAAGCCACAAGCAGACACCACAGAGGGAGAAGCACCCAACTCTCAAAGAGAGCCACAGACACAGCCAAACAGGCTCAAACCGAAAGAAGACCACCTCCACCAAAAGCCCAAGACAGGGGAGAATGGGAGGTAGCAGAACGAGAGAAAAAAAACCGAAAGAAAAGAAAGAAGAACAATAAATTAAAAACACAAGAAAACCCGAAAATTGCTCTGTAAAAACAGAGCAGCTCCTCGAGGTGGAAGATGAAAGAAAAGGCAGGAGAAGGGGGACAAAGGAGCTACCAAGAAGAGAAAGAGAGAGGAAGAGGAGGAAATAAAGAAAAAAAAACCATAAAAAGAAGGAGGGAGAGAACAGAGAAGGAGGAGAGAGAGAGAGAGAGAGAGAGGGGGCTATGGGGAGGGAAAAGGGGGAGATAGGGGAGGAGGGTCAGTGACCACTTCCTCCCCCTGAGCGGCGCTGAAGAAAGGGGCCTAGGGTTGGGAGAAAAAAATATCTTCTGATTAGAGAGAGAAAGGGGAAAAAATCGCTAGCTCTCTGAAGTCGTGTATGGTTGAATGAGTATATTGGCCATTTTAAGGATTGTGGATTTGAGGTAGGTATACAGACACTAGCAATGTTTGGATTCTTGGGAACATGGATTAAGAGAGACTATTTTGATTATGTTGAAGTAAGTCCACCACAACCCAGCATCAGACACTCTCCACAAATGCTAAAGTTAATTAGTTTCACTATGTGATAGCAATATCTATGTTTATGGATTTTCTTTTTTCTCACATATTATTGATTAAAAATAATAAATATATAAACAGAATATCTTCATAGTATAGCCGCGCGGCTATACTCCGAAGAATAAAATATTTTGAAAGTCCAGCCGGCCGGCTATACCCTTTAAGTAGCTCTCTTTTTTTAATTACTTTGATTAGTACTTATGTTTTACTTAGTGAATATTAAAGGAAAAAAGAAAAAAGAAAAATTGAATTACTATGTATTAAGTAATACAATTCATGAAGTTGATTAAAAATTTTAATACTAATTATTCACTAAATAAATAATTATTAAAATAGAATTACTAAGTTAACTAATTAAATGAGGCAAATACATTATTATTTACTAAAAATAAAATTTCAAAAAATTAATTAACCTAAACATCCTAAGTTTATATTTATTTATTTTTTAAAATGACCTCTCCCGACGACATTTCGTCGGCAAAGGTTTTTTCGTCAGGAGAAGTCTAATCCGACAAATCTTTGCCGGCATAGATCTGTGCCGACGAAATTTCGTCGGGAGAGGTGTTTATTTGTATTTTTTTTTAAATTAAAAATATAAAATAACTTCTTTGCTTTTGTTTTTTGGCCTACTTCTTTAATTTAGTATATGTAATTAAGTACCTTTTTTTAATTACTCTAATTAGCAATTACATTTGAAACAACAAATAGAATATTGAAATTAAATATGGTGTTTGATACAACTTTCTAAATCAAAACACAAAAACATTATATGATATTTGAATTTTAAAAATAATTAGTTAATTAGTTAACTAATCGGGTTTAATTTAAATCACATAGCCCAAGAGGTAATATTTGGTGGGAATTTTTTGCATTTTAGGTTTTTCATTAATGAATTGTCTTATTTTGCAAGTTCGTTAATGAATTTTCGCATTTTGGAGTTTCACAAATGAATTTTCGCATCTTAGGTTTTCATGAATGAATTTTCGGGTTTTAGTTTGTTATTCAATTTCGCTAATGAATAATTGCATTTCGGGGTTTCACAAATGAATAATCGTATTTTTGGGTTTCACAAATGAATTGTGTCATTTTTGGGTTTCGCTAATGAATTATCTCATTTTAGGGTTTTGTTAATAAATTTTCGCATTTTGTGGTTTCGCAAATGAATTTTCATTTTTGGGTTTCATGACTGAATTTTCGCATTTTAGGATTTCGTTAATGAATTTTCACCTTTCGGGCTTTAGCGAAACCCCAAAAGTGCGAAAATTCATTTGTGAAACCCAAAGATGCGACAACTTATTAGCGAAACCCAAAAATGCAAAAGTTTATTCAAGAAACCCCCAAAAATCAAAAAATCATTTCCCAAAATGCAAAAATAAATGAATGAATCCCTAAACAGTGAATTCATTAGCAATGCCCTAAAATGTAAAAATTCATTTGTGATACAATAAATGTGAAAATTCATTAACGAAATCTCAAATTGCTTGGACGAAACCTCGTAATGCGACAATTCATTAGCGAAACCCTAAAATGCAAGAATTAATTCTTGAAACCACGAAATGCAAAAATTCATTAGCAAAACCCCAAGATGCGAAAATTATTTAGCGAAACACTAAATTGCAAAAACTCATAGACGAAACCCCAAAATGTGAAAATTCATTGGCAAAACCCAAAAATGCACAAATTCATTCTTGAAACAACGACATGCGAAAATTCATTCTTAAAACCATGAAATGTGAGAGTTCATTCTCGAAACCACAAAATGTGAAAATTCGTTTGTGACACTAAAAGAACCAGTGCGAAAATTCATTCTTGAAACCATGATTATACTTTCAGGAAATTAGGGTCCTAACCTTTCAGAAAGAAAAAGTGCAAAACATTATAAACACGATGGAGAAACACAAAAATAAACCAATTATACAAGACACAAGAATTGTTTACAAGATTGCTAGAGGTTCACAACAAGAGAAGAAGGAAAAACAATTACAAACACTAAAGTGTATTTGATTACCGATTTACTACAGAACTTCCATAATTTTTTTATTCTGTATGTGTAAGTGAACACAAGTAAGGAATTAGAATGAATACCCATGTGTGAGTACACACAAAGCAAAAAGGAATTGGAATAATTACGATACCCATTACTGATAAGTAAACATGCTATCATAGTCCCATTGGCTTACAAAATCATATGATACTGAAATTTATAAGAAAAATGAGAGAATAAACTATTCAATCACTTGCCCCAAAAGTCTCAACAGTAGAATGGACATGGAGCCAAAAGCACGAACTGCAACATCCATTACAATAAGAAAGCAACTGACACCTTTATGAGATGTGTATTACTATCCAAACATAACAATTATACGGTAACAATCATATCAATTTCTCCCCCAACCAGAAGCTATAATACCTCAAGTTCAAGTGCCTATTTATCTATTATTTTAAAATACCAGTACAGATAAACAGACAACAGCAACAAGTTTAACTGTTCAAGCCAAATCCCTGTCTAGTCCTGCAAACAGAAAATTATAAACTGAGTTACAAGAGCGAGAAGTCAATGCAGCAAGGTAAAGCATTGTGACACTGTTCACCAGAAAAGAAAAAGAAAAAGAAAAAAATATTGTGATACTTGTGTTCAATTTTGAGTGTTCGTTTCCAATTTATGTATTAATGTAACCATGAGTTTTTCTTGCAACTGCGGGGGCTTCTGTCCGGAAAACATGTGAAAGCTCAACGCTAATACCCCATAAGAATGATTATGATGCTTGCTAAAAGGAGAAGTTGCAAAATGTTCCAGGGGAAGTCAGAGCAGGAGTACATCATCATTCATAGTCAATATACAGCGACACCATACACAGAACATGTATATAGTTGCACTTTAAGAAATACTCTTGCAATTTATAGATATATCATAAATTTGTCTCTGGCAATTTGAGTGCAGTTGTGAAATATTTTTTGGAATATTGCCTTGTGCCTCTGTGATCTATTTGATCAGGCAAGTGCATTGCACCCGCATCAGTTTCTCTAAGATAATGGCCGCCCCTATTGCAGTTTGTTCCATCGTACATTAAACTAATTGCTTGTTTCTTCCCTACGTATGGGCCATGGTGGTGAGATGTAATAATATACAGTCCAATAGTTGGATTGGATGATCCTTGTTTCAGGGGTTTGGGTTGAATACATTATAGATGGAAGGAATATATCAACCACAACTGATCTACTATCTAATCTAGGAGAATCATACGTGCATTGTGTAGATAAATTACCTCATCCTCGTCATCGTCATCACCGCCATCTTCCTTGTTCTTCTTGAGGCGTGTAGTGCCACCCTCCTTGACGATGGGCAACTTCATGGCTCCAAAGGGCGTGTCCACATTGATATTGCCTTTGATGGTGTAGCCGGTACCCTTTCCCCGAATCATATCCCAGAGCGCAGACCCAAAATCCTTAGGCCTAAAGGTGATGGGAAGCTCAATGAAAGTGACACCCTTTTTAGCAAGATTCGCAGATTGGGAGAGCTGCGCGCAGCCAATGTTGACTTCAGAGAGCCAAATCTCGTAGTCGAGAGCATTGAGGCCTAAGTCGAAGTCATTCATGTTCTCCAGCTTCACATGGAGGACTGCAACGGTTTCTTCGAAGGAGAAGGCTTGAAACTTGATCTTCTCAATATCGACATCGGGTTTGTAAGGGATAGGGATTTCTCCAGTTTTCTCGAGGGGGAGAGTGAGTCTGCCGAGAACAGGGACATCGACAATGAGATCGACCTTGAACCTGTAAGGAATGATGCTTCCAGGCTTGATGTCATCGTAGGTGTTCTTGATGTCATCGTATACCAAGTGGACTGGAACTTTGACAGTCTCTTCTCCGTGGGCATGGATTGTTCCGGCATCCGGGATCAAGCCAGAGACCAGTTTCCTGCCATCACTTTCGATCAAGTAGTTAATGTCGATGAGAGGGATGGGCACTGGATTTGGGTTCTTGATCAGCACATCCACCACGATCTCCGCCTTCTCGAGATTGATGCTAGGGATGTGAATCGCAGTAACATCCGCTGTTGGCTTCCCGAACCCAATTGCTCCCTCGATCTTCTCTCCAATGTCATGAATGAAATCCTTCACCCTATCGATAAATCCACCCTCATCATCCTCATCATTCTCTCCCTCCTTCTTCTTCTTGTCAGATTTCTTCTCCTTAGCATCCCGATCAGCAATTTCTGGCTTATCATCTCTCGACGAATACGATGCCATGAAGATGGATTCCCTACCTACTCGCCCTATACATATATATATATATACAATTTACAATTGATTTATCAACACCTTCAAAAGTTCATATATATTTGATGATACATGGATATCATTCTGAATTATTGATCTATTTGCGAATGCAGATCATGCCACTTGATCATAATTTTGACTCCCCAAGATAAAACAAATGAACAATTTTGACCCAAAAAAAATACGAATATCAACTCACTCCAAGAAGAAGAACATCTGAACATGTCAGATCTAAATAAATATTTTTGATTTTTGGATGAGATCTAAGCTAAAATACCTGGAAGCTGGAGCAGAGTTCAACTTGTACGCAGCCCAACGACACAAGCAGCAACGATTCAAAGAAAGAAAATTAAATTGAGTATTTAATTAAAAGCAGAAGCAATCAGCAATAAGCAATCAGCCGTAAGAGAGAAGATGCAGCGGCAGCTTCGGTTGGGGTCGCGAGTTATATGACTCAGGCAGTTTGGTATTGCTGTGAAAATAACGGCGGTCAGATTTGCTGTGAGAGAAATCAACTATAAAATAAATCAGTTTGGCATTTGATAAACTTTTTGTTAAAAGTGTTGTTGATATTGATTCTCACATAATTATAAAATGATTCCCGTATAATTATTAAACTTAGCCTCTCTTTGAAACTAATTCCTTCATAATCAGAAAATGAAAACACTTCATTAGTTGTTTTCCCTTATAGCTTTCTTTCATAACAATTTTTAACAATAAATGATTTTTTCATAGTTTACCAAACGGGCTTCCCAAATTTTTTTAAAAATCACTTATCACCCCATATAAATAATGCCAAACGGGCACTTAATAAACTTATATTGGGGCCGACTAATCGCGAAATCTCTCCTACACTACACGTTGAATGCATTCAATTCAATTGTTAATTTGTTACTAATCTACAATGGTAAAATATTCAAAAACCCTGAAATTACCATCTCTTTATGAAAAACACCAAAGCAAAGAAATTCAATATAAATGGGGCAAAACGGTCAAATGAAGCCACTAAACAGATCTAAAAGAATTTTTAAAAATAACAAAAATTAAAACACGTTGAACTATGAATGCAATCCCATGCCACATCACCACCTTTTTATCTCACATTTCTATATAATATAATGTGGCATGTCCATATCATATGTCACATCAATTAAATCAATGAAGTGTATTTTAGTTAAAAAAAAGTTTAACTAACAGTTTTTTTTATAGATATTTATAAAAATACCCAATCCTAGACATGTATTTATAAAAATACCCAAGCACTATTTAAACATAGAAACATACCCAAAATGGGTTTTGGGTATGTGTGTAATGATGGGTTTTGGGTATGTTTATAAATGGGTTTCGAGTGTGTGTAATGATGAGTTTTTGGTATGTTTATAAAGTGTTTTGGGTGTTGGGTATTTTTATAATTTCAGCCCCCATTTTGGGTATTTTAGTGAAACTCCCTTTTTTTTAAGTGTTAATAAATCATACAAGAAAAAAAAATGTTAAATAATTTTAATTGATATGACTGTCCACCTCATCTGCCGCATTAGATGGTATAAAAATGTGATATACAAATGTTGTAAGAGTAGCATTATTCCAAAAAAATAAATACCCATTACCCTCACAATGGAAACTCACCGTTGGTTTATATATTATAGTTATGTTTTTATAGTCAAACTATTCTTCATGGTTTTTCGTTTCCAGATTTTCAGAAGATGGAATCAAAGTTATCTGATATTATTTTGTATTTGTCTTAATTATGAAATAAACAATCTCCTCTCTTCTCTCTCGCATGAGCCTCCCTCTCCCTCAAGTCTCTTGTATATTTCCTCACTCTCTCTTTCCGAGTCTCAATCTCTTTTTCTCCGACTTCCAATCTTATTGAAGGTACTCAATGGTTAAACGACCTCTCAATTTCATCTGGCACCTCACGAATGGTTATCCGTCTAAATATAATATATGCATTTTATACATTGGTGAGTATGGAGCTAGTTAATCATTCATTTCCACATGAGTTTATTAGTCCCTTCTCAAGGAAATGTTTTTGGTGGATCCGGTATTAGCAATCTCATTTAAAACTATAATTAGATCAAACAGACATGAGACTAAATTTAGTCCAAACCAATCCAAGCCAAACCTGTATAACAAACAGTCCCTAAAGGTCTCCCCATCATCCAAAGAGAGGTCCCACGGTTCCAGTGATTCCAATCTCATTACAATCAATCATTGTAAGACTAATTATTATCATTGGTTGGCAGGTAAACTTAATATTCAGGCTAAAAAGGAAAAGGAAAAAATAAATATTTAATTACTTTTTTGTTTTGTTTATATTCTGTGAGGGGGAGAATTTGATGCAGGTGTGAGATAAGATAACTCATGGTATTTTTTTCTTTCTCTGAAAGCTTATATTAATTGTTTGGTGAAATGCACAATCGAAAACGGTAACTTAGAGGAACCAGAGAATGGATAACGATCTGAAGAATTGGAGGAAAATGGTACATTTGCAATTTTGCATCGATCGGTGCCTGGAGGCTGAAGCAAATTCCAACATTTTTTGAAAAAATTAAGTAATTATAAATTTTATTTTATTTCATGATCTCAACTGAATTGTAAAAGAATGAATGGCATTGACAATTTGACACGGCGTTGATACGAAAGAATTGATTGGATTGGATGAGCATGAGCATGAGAGAAAGAGTGAGAGTCAGAGGATGGTGCCATCTGGGATTACTGCACTTCGAACAACGACTACTATTCCTTCACGGATGACATAGCCATTAGCTTCTCTGTCCGCTTCTTGGGCCTTGTCTTTGTTCATGATCTGCAGCAGCACCAGAATAAGAGTTAATTACCATCATCATCATCATCATCGTCACATCAAAAAACCCTCACTCTCACTCAAGGCTTATGAAATATTGAATTGCATATGTACCTTAACATTCTTGCCAATTCTTGCATTCTTGTCTATAATGGCCTTCCTTACAAAAGTATGTTCACCAATTCCGATGGGAACTTTCCTCTTCTCACCACCTTCTGTCTGTGAGTGTGTGAGTGTGAGAGCGGTTGATTAGATATTAACAACACAGCATAATGGAACATTAATTTAGTTAGACTAAATTAGATATATGGTTTGTGGTTGGTCTTGGCCGGATTTTAATTTCAAAGTATAAAATAAATGTACTTAACAATTAATGGCAAGGATTATCAGATCATTAGAAAGAAAGGGAAAAACACACACTAGTGGTTCTGATTTCAGCAAATTAAGTTAACACCCTAACTAAAACTTAGAATGTAAAATGGATGACAAAAAATATTAATTATAATTAATTAATCTATATATATAAAGCATTAATTAAGCTTACTTGATAGATAGTTGAACCCATGATAACTGAATCCTCAATCATAGCCCCATCTCCGATTCTTGTCCTGGTACCAATTACTGTATCTTTGATCCTGCATCCCTACTCTTGTACAAGTCCAAAACCAACCAACCATTTCCCACCCACAAAAACAAGAAAACAAGAAAACAAGAAAACAAGAAAACAAGAAAACAAGAAAACAAGAACAATTAAGATCCATACATATCAGTGGTCACTACTTACTACTTGTTTAATTGGAGACATCGATAAATGATTCAAAAATCCTCTTCTAAGTTCTTACATTGAGAATGCAGCCATCTCCAATTACACTGTCTGTTATTACACAGTCGTCAGTTATATGAGTTGGAGGCAGACACCGACGCAAAGTGTAGACTGGACTTTCTCTATCGTAGAAGCTGTGTTGTTAATTATACATATATATGGAAGAAAGGAGCAAGTTTGTGTTAGTTCATGAGATTGAAATTTGAGGGAGGGGATCCACTCCAATATATACAACTTAATTTAGAAGTTACTACCGACTTGTATCCCACGTCTGCATCCTTTGTGCTTTGCATATTTGCTTGGTAGAATGCTTCAATATTCCTCATGTCCTCCCAATATCCATCAAATCCATAAGCTTGAACCTGACCTCTCACATCACATGCACAAAATTAAAGTAAATCTTCGCATCTAACTATCTAAGGACTTTAAATTTGAAACAAACGCACTACAGAGAGTTGGTTAATTGTCAGAGGTATGGTTTGGACCTTCATTCCAATAGATATGGCTCCCGGAATTACTTCACTTGCGAACTCATTTGCCTTGGGAAAATCTTCTTCTAGAAGCCTTTTCATTATATCTCTATTGATGAGATAGATTCCCATACTCGTCATACTATTTTGAGCAGTATCTTTGGATTCTCTTGAGCTTTTGGCCTGAAGTTTCAGATTAAGGCTTCCTCAGGAACACCAGACATTCCATAAACAAACATAAAAATATACTACTACTACTACTTACTGAAACAACATTGACTGGCTTTCCCTCCAACTTCAATCTAAACTCCACAACTTGATTTTCAGAGTTCACATCTAGAAAGCCAAAACCCGGATCATGAAGTTTCCTGGCAATTGATGCAGCAACTGTAATGTGAGCCTTATTGTCTCTGTGGGCCTTTAAGAGTTTTTGGTAGTCCATTCTGTAGAGATGGTGACCAGGAAGGACCAAAAACTCAGTCATTGGATACTCTTCCAGTACCCAAAGGCATCTTCTGACAGCATCGGCAGTTCCCTAATATCAAGTTATTAGAATTTCAAGACTTGAGAGAGTATATATATATATATATATATCTTCTACTTGTACATGTAAATGAAATAATAAAACTAGACAGGATTTGATTATGCAGACCTGAAACCATCCATTATTACCAGGGCTCTGATATGCTGCAATTACTTCAACAAACCCCTCATTCCCAAGACCTACTCCAGAATAAGCTCTGGAAAGGTGGGAATTGAGAGAAGTAGAGTTAAATTGTGTTAGAGCATATATATGGTTTATGTTGCTGCTAATGCAGTTGCTCACAACAGAATCAATGAGCCTGTAGTTTGCTGCAATAGGTATAGCTCCTTGTGATCTTCTCTTTGTCAATGGGTAAAGCTGTGATTCATGTCCTTCTCCAAACACAATAGCTGCCACACTCTGACATGAATAAATGTAATCTAGATCGATGCTCTTCAGAAGAATTGATTGATTAAAGATAATAAAAGTAAAGAATATACATACCCTTAAGTAGAAAGTAAGAGGCAAATTATGTATCATTTACATGACTTAAGTAGAAATTTAAATAAACCTGTTTGGCTGGAGGAAACAACAAAGTGGGAGTTTGAGATTGCTGTGAATTGGTTATCAACAAGCTTGGACTTGGAGGAAGAGTCGAATGAAGCTTCAGTGAACCTTTTTCATGAATACAATCCGATCCAGTTATGTAGTGCTTTGCTTGGGTGCTAACAAGGGAGGTATGAATAAAAGAACGCTGCAAGATCACCATGACAATACAGAGCAAGGGACTCTATGTAATGTATGTATGAACAATTTGCAATCTGTATTTTCAGCTTTTAAGGAATATTATGCTTCTCTTCCTCCCAACTGATTTAAGATCAG